CACCCACCTAAAGTATACAATTCCATGGTTTGTAGCCTATTCAGTGTGGTGCAACCATCACCATAATCAGTTTTAGAACATTTTTCATTCCCCCAAAAGAAACCCCATAGCCCGTATATTCCTGGCTTATCTTAACCATAGTGGGGATTATAAATTATGAGGGCACTCTTTCATGCCCATGAGATTATGGCATGACATTAATCTCATTTATCACATCGATAATAGAATTTGTCAAATTGCTGAGACCTGCTAGGTGTAGACCACACAGTCCAGCCACCATACACCTCTCTCTAGGACATCCCTGGGCAGGGTTCTTAATTCAGGGCTCAAAGAAAATCTGTAAATCCCAAAAACATGTGAAAAATGGTATGTGTGGTTTGCGTATGTATGGGGCTTTTTATAAAGAGAAATGCCATAGTTGTAATCACATTCTAAAAAAGAGATTAGGTCCCAGTGTCCTGATTCTGACAAGACCCCACATTCCCCAAACAACTGGTAAACCCTTAGGGACAGGAGTCACGTCTTGTATGTGATAAATCCCATGTAGCATGCAGCACTTGGGGGCAGGGAGAACATGGAAATCTTAATATACAGTTCTCTACATATTTATTCAACTGCATACTGAGGTGACTGTCCCACTGTCACCTAAAGAAAAATAATAGCTAACATATAAAAATAATAACAGCTAACATATATTCATTGCATTCCTATTATGGGCCAGACACTCTTCTCTGTGCTTCTTATGCATTAACCCATTTAATCTTGCTAACAACTATATTACCCCCATCTTCCCAATGAGGAAATTAAAGTACAGCTATGCAGCTATGTTCTGTAACGGGCCAGGACAGACATGTATATATGAGAGAGCCAGAGTTTAAACTCAGGCAGCGCGGTTCAAGAGCACATCCTCTCAGCTACTCATCCAAATAAGCCCATTGGTTGACGGGACTGAGTTAGACAATGGTTCAGGCACCGGGTTGGATGGAAGCTTCTGAGCAGGTAGAGCCGGATGAGAAGAAAGCTCAAAGAGATGAGTTAGCTTCACTGTCACTTTCATGGGACACATCAGCAGAGTGGGGCTGTGGCATGATTCTGTTGATTTATGTTGTAATATAAGATGCTTTGCATACGAAGTTTACCCATATACCCTTCCTTTTAACAGGCCTGCAATGCTCCTGCCACACACAGAAGTCTGCTAGGTGGGACCCAAGCAGAGTCAGCAGGATAAGCTGGTGGAAAGAGTATCGGATGGGCGGCACCAAGACCCGAGTCCTCATCCTGGCCCAGCTCTTACCCACGAGGCCTTGGTACACCCTGGACATCACCCTCTCATCCACAGAGTGATCGAGCCAGGTGAGTGTCACTCATACAGTCAACAAATAGCTTGGACCACTTGCTGTGTGACAGGCATTACTCCGGGTGCTACAGTGACAGGACAGTTCCCGCTCCACCGAAGCACACCTTCTAGGAGGGCAGACAGAGAAGAGAAGGTCAAACCGGATGGGACACTGTCAGCCAGCCAACAGTAGTAAAGGCCAGGGAAACAAACCGCAGGATGCGATATAGCGTGATACGTGTGCAAGAAGAAAGGCCCACCCACCCACCCACCCACTCACTCACTCACTCACTCACCAGCTTTTCCAGAATAAATGGTCAGACTCACCATCAAGGCTACCTAATCCTTCCTCTTTGAGTCTATTGTCCCCACCACCAATAACAATAATCACTATCCTTATTAGTGACTGCCATTTCTGAACTCTGACTACTGACCAGCACAGGGCTGAGGGCTGTATGAGCCCCTATTATTTAATAGGGGATCCCGCCACATCCCATCCCTAAAATACTTATTGTGCCCATTTTACAGATTAGCAAATTGCTATTCTGGTTATCCACTTGGAAAATTCTATCCCTAAGAATCCTTAATCCAAAATCTTTAAGATCAGGAAAAGGATCAAGAATATCCCAGTCTCTCAAAAAGAATTTGCCATGATGTATATGAATCAGTGTTCATTTATTTCACATTTAATCAAAGAGGAAACCAAAGCAGTTGTGAGATGATCAGTCACTCATGAGCCCTGACCTCCAGCCTTCTTCGCAGCAACACAACTTGGCCTTCACATCACAGCCTCATTTTCTGGCACCATAAAGCACCAGACCCCGACTGATGCAACAGCGGCTTAGGATGAACCCATTAGAGCAATTTGGACAACTTGGACATCGTTATGGGGGACAATGATTTCACTTCCTGCCTCTTATTCTGTACAGAGGGGAGAAGAAAAGACTTCTCAGCCATCACCCTAAAAAAAAAAACAAGAAAAGAAAAAGCCGCCAAGCCAGGGCTCAGCAATTAGTGTTGGAGTAAGTGATCATCTTGTGATTGCTCAGCTGGGGCCTGAAGACTTGTAAACGCATTTAGAGGACAGAAATAGAAGATGTCGTGTGAGAGCAGAGAAACCTGGCCCATTTGCCAGGAGAAAAATGTCCTGAGGCTGCTGGGAAAGTCACTCAGTTGGGATTTGGGATGCGTCTCCATAAACAGGAAAAGTTCATAGTTAGACCCGCCAGTGAGGTCAGTGCGTATGCCTAGACCTCCTGACTCTTCTCTCTGGACCCCCAGACCCTGCTGGAAGCCCCCCTGCTCCTATCAGAGCTGCCTGACCAAGTGCTGAAAGTCCCAAACCAAGCTGAGCCCCCCACCTCGCCCCCACCACGCAGCCAGGCCCATTATGGGGGTGGACGGATGGCACCCATTGTCCCACTCTCGCTCCCCGCCCCAGCCGACCACAAGGACTTTGGCGAAAACTGGCCAGTACTTCCAGGAGAAAACAGCAGCCCATCCCCAGCAGGCTCACTGGTACCAGAACCGATTCCAGCCAGAGGCCACCAACCCCCAGAGCACTGGGAATTTTGTGAAGTCCCCCCAGCCTATCACTGCCACCACCCAGGAGAACCCAGCTCATCCCCAAAGAGCCTGTGGGTCACAGCCTCTTTTGGGGTCCCAAGGGCAAGTCAAGGACATGTTCTAGCTCGACCCACTTTGCAGACAACTATAACCCAAGATGTACCCCCGCCCCCACTTCTGTGGCCCATAGGAATGTCATGGGTCCCAAAGCCCTCTCCATTTCCCTGCAGGTGGCACGTGACTGTCAAGTCCTAAGGCACGAGCACCCACTCAATGTCCTCAAGGGAGACAGAGCTTCTCCCCTACTGACAGCTTCTCTCCCCCAAGTACAACCTAGACCACCAACTGGCAGTGTGCTTTGGCCCACAGGGTTGAGGGGTTTTGTTTTCAGTTTTCAGCATTTTAAGATGTGAGAGGTTCCACTAAACCTCCAGCTCTTTGGGTAAAAACACTAAGCGTGGTGACACGAGGCTGCACCTCCACAAAGCAGCAGCCACCGGAAATGCTTACTGGCTGCCTCTGCAGAGGGGACACGCGGTCCCCAGCCTCCACGGCCACCGCCCGGTCTGCCGCAGGCATTTAGCTTTGTGGCCCTTGTATGAATTAGTTTGAAGAAGAAGTCTTCTCAGAGGTCAAAAGCTTCTCCCCCCAGGGATATTTCACATTAAAACTCAAATCCCCAGTAAAATAAACACACCTGGAACATCTGGTCCAAGGCCCTCCCTGGTCCCTGCTCTTCCCCCAGCTGCAAAGAACACACGTCAAAGTTCCCACCCCCAAAGCCCAACGAGGGCCAGAGGGCAAGAGCTAAATGCGCAGTGGGAAGGGAGGTCTCGGTGCCCTGCAGCTAATACCCTGGGCCTGGGCAGTGGCCATAGACGGCGCTGTCTCCACAGGGAGGGAAGAAAGTTAAGCACAAAGCAGAGGTGGCCATAACTGATTTTTTAAAATATCTATCCAACATCCACCGTGTGCTTGGGAAAACACACAGGGGCCCAGGCTGAGACTCAGTCCCCCCAGAGGAGAAGCCAGCCCCCAGCACAATTCTCCAGGACCCCTCGCCCTGCCCTCCCCACCTTGCCCTGGGTGCACCGCCTCTTCGTACGGGATGCCTGTCCAGCCAGCCTGCCCTTCCCTGATCAAAGGCAAGGTGCTTTCACCAGGACAACTCTCAAGGGTTCAAAGGGGAGCTCATTGGCACGTCGCTCCCCCTTTTCCTCGCCAAATACAGTAGACCCCACCCTCCTCCTCTCTGCTCTTGGGGAATATGCCCAGTCGATGTCTGAGAAGGCCACTATCCTCAAAACTGGGCTGACCAGACAGCAAGCACCGCCGCAGGTGCGGAGGGCTGGCACTCCCCCGACCGCTCTCCGTCAGCTTCCCTTCAAGGCCACCATCTCCCCAGGACACGGCAGCCCTCCCATCAAAGCCAGAGTCTTCGGCCCAGAGCAAGGCCTGGAGAGGGGGCACCAAACTCATGGGATTCTGTCCCCACGGGTCTAGCCCTCAGGAGGCCCACCCACCAAAGAGACGGCAGGTGGCGGGGGGACGAACAGATGGGAAGCCCACCCAGGCCACGTGACCTGCCGCTGCCCCTACAAAACGAGGTGGCCCTTGCACACAAGGGTCTCCACTCTCTGAGCCCTTCGCCACCGACCCCAGAACCTATCGGACGTAACACTTAGCCTGGCCTGCTTTCCGTCCTCTTCCGGCCCCCCACTCCAACCCGCACACACACTTAGCGGACCTATAGACGATCTCAGAAGTATAGTATTCACATCATAGATGCGTGGAATTTCTTATCATTTTTTTACCATAAAACTGCAAATTTCATCATAAAAAGTAAGCAAACCCGGAGTCAGGAGACCCTCTCTCTAAGCCCCAGTCCTAGGCTTTTTCTTTTGGCTGGAGCCTTAGAAATCATCAAACCCAAAATCCTCATTTTAAGAGGCAAAATCTGAAGCCCAAAGAAGTTAAGAGACTCGCCCCAGGGCACACAGTGGCAAAGGCAGGCCTCAACCTCAGGTCCACAACTTCACTGCCCAGCACTGTCTCCCTACTGTGTGCTCCCACCCACCCAGGCCACCACCCTACTCACATATAGCGCAAGTGGGGGTTCTTGGCAAAGGCCCTGGGCTGGATGCTCCGAAGTCCTGAGTTCTTGATGGTCCTGAAGAGAGAGAAAAAGAGGGTCAGCATTGCTTAAGGGACAAAGGGACTTCAGCTGTGGGCTGAGGCTGACAGCGGGTCAGGCCAAGATGACCCGCAGCCACCACTGGAACTCAGTGGCCTTCTGCATCACCAGGAGCACTGGGTGGTCCATCATGGGTGGCCGTGGTGGGCATCGGGGCTCACAGCCCAGGGAACCTGGGTGCAGATAAGGGGTGTCAGTGGGCAGAGCTGACAGCTATCCTCCACCCATGCTGGCGAGTGGGGAAGGACAGGCTCCTGTTCAAGAAGCCGGTCCAGCAACTACAGGCTGTATAGGCTGTAGCCCCCTTATGCCTCCGCCTTGCCTACAATCCACCACAGCCACTCGCACCCAAGTCCACAGACGATCGTGGCTGGGAAACCTCTCTAGGGACTCGGGGTCTAGGAAAAAGCAGCAGCCCGGGAGACCTGGGTTCAGGTCCTGCCTTGAAACCCCAACCACAGGGTGAGACCACGCAACCCCCTCGCCCCTCTATCGAGGCTAAGGTCAAATGTGGGAGAATGAAGAGATGGCCTTGGAAGCCCATGACCTTCCCTAGGTGGGCAGTGCCACTCTACTGAAAGAGGAATCTCAGAGACCGTGGGGAAAGGAGCCCCCCCACGGGGTGCGGCCCCCACCCCTCGGCCCGGTGCACTCACAGCTTCTGGACGCCGGTGTAGAGCTCCATGTCCACAGCATTGAGCGTGTGCAGCCCACGCCAGTTCTCTATGTGTCTGCAGAGGAGGAAAAGCTCGGGTCAGCCGAGGGGCAGGGCAGTGGGAAGGGCACTGGCTGCAGAGCCAGAGAGACCTGGGTTTGAACCCTCGACGGGCTACATGGGAGCCAGGCCTTCTGCCAAGTGACCACATCTCTGAGCCTCAGACTCTTCCACTGCGTGGTGACACACACACCCTCCGGCCCGGGGACAGCATTCCCGTCCCCTCTCAGCCCAGAAAGGCTCTACACTAAGTTAAAACCAGACTGGCTAGAACCCCGTCTCCCCACTGGGCCTGGTGACTTAGCTTCCTTCCTGTACCTTCCCCCTTTGCTTTCCTTTCTAGGATTTCCTAAGGACAACCTCGTTTTCTTAGCTCCTGCCATAAAGACAATACAAATGACATGGTAAAAAATAAATTAAAAATTGGGGGCTGTGGGCAGCACTTGCCAACAGGCACGGCCTTTGGGTGGAAAAGCCCAGGAGTTACACACACCCGCCTCAGGGTCTCCCAGGGTCCAGACACTGACCACCCACTTGGGGGACCACGGTCTAATCCACGTGGAATTCCACACCACCAATGGCTTGATGTGACAGAACCGACTCTGGAAGGGAGGGGCCCCCTAGGGACCCGGCAGGCATGGGTGTGGAGAAGGCATGGCAGACAGACGCCATGGAGCCCGACGCTAGCTTCACCTCTGTGACTCAGCAGCCAGTGGCTCTGAGCAAGAGCTCTGGCCTCTCTGGGCCGCTGCGTCTTCATTTGTAAAGGGAGAGGGTTGCATTAGGTGAGCAGTGTCTCCCCCTTCTTGACCCAGAGATCTCCGTTTAGCACTGTCTCCCAACAGGCCTCATGTTTAAGGAGGTTTGTGTCCACCCAGCACATTACATTTATTAAGTAATCATTAACTCATCCTCTCAGATTTATTAAACAAAGATAAAAATCACCATTAACCAGAGCTTTTTACCAACAAATAGGAACCAGCATTAACTCACCCAATGAACAAATTCCAGCCCAAAGCAAAGGTACATGAAAGTTCTGTAAGCGACAGACGGCATGTCATGAGTGAGGGTTTGATTTCTGGTTTTTCCTTTTTTTATTGACAAAATGCCAGGGACACACGGCCACCACCACTACTCTCTTGGGTCTCCAGGTTGAGAACCATCCAACTGCTGGTCCCCAGGGCCCGTTCCAACTCTAAAGATGTGTAGGAGGTCACCATTCACAGACACCTCTCCCCACAGAACTCCAGGGGGTTCTCAGGAGAAGGCCTGCTGCTGCCCCCCTCAGGATCCCCCCAGGACCTGACTGTCCTGTCAGTGCCCCCGAGGTCTACATAACCCCTCAGAGAGAAGTGCACAGAGGTGACAGCTCACGGGGACAGAGCTACTTGAGGCACACTCAGGCCAGAAAAATGGCAGCCACCTTCCACAGACATCTCCTCCCGGGCCCCCCCAGCACACCCATGGCTCAGCCGTCTGCCCCTAAGTGGAACAGAGCCAGGAAGCCCGCAGGGCGGTGGTGGCCAGAGCTGCTGGAAGCATTTCAGAGCCACACAGTGACAAGGTATGCTGACAGCCCGTTTTGTACCACATTCTCTTGGGGCCCCTGCTGAGCAGCCAGACACAGTGGCATCTGCCGGGGACATGGGCCAGGTGGCCAGGGAGGTACTGAATTCCAACTCGAGTGTTCTTCCTGGAAGCCTCCTGGCTGCAGGGCAGGGTTTGCTCGGTCTAGTCCCACCAGGGAAGGGACCTGGCTCCATTCCAGACGGAAAGGAAGGCCAGAGGGCCAGGCCGGGGCCCCCGACCGGTGAATGCACCGGGCCATCAGTGCACGTAACTACCTAGTGGGTCACAGTGTCCCTACAGCCGACCGTTCATTCAAAGGAGCCCAGCTTCAGACAAGGACCTGCTCTCCGCAAGCAACTGTCAATCCAGTTGTTTAAATAAATGAAATCATTTTTCTGAGCCCACATTAGAATGCCATAGGTGTGCTTTTATTATGGCTGAGCTGTCAATCATCCCTGCATTCTAACACTTTACCCTCGTCAGCCCTCATGTCCTCATGGCCACAAGCTGACTCTCCCCGGATACAGGCACACACTAAGATACGGCAGGCAATGAATGAATGAATCTTGCAAAGGGCTCTCTGGTCCATAAAATATGGGCCCCTGTATCCTCTGTCGAGTACGAGTTCTCCTATGCTGTGCAGTGGTGTGGGTAGCAGTATCCTAGGAGCACCTCTAAAGCCGGGTCAGCAAACTATAGCCCCCACCAGTTTTTGTACAGCCTGACAGTAAGAAAATTTTTACGTTTTTTTAAAAATCAAAAGTAGAATCCTCTTTCGTGACATGTGAAAAGTATATGAAATTCAGATCTCAGTGTTCCTATCTGTCCGTTTACTGGTGCACATGCCTGCTCTGGCCCTACACACATGGGGCTGGGTAACTGCTGCAGAGACCCATCTAGAATACTGACTTTCTGGCCTTTCATAGAGAAAGGTCGCCACCCCCTGCCAAGATACACAGCCTGGCCCCATCACTACCTCTATTGATGGGACCCTGGTCCAGCGTACTTCCCCTGCCCATGCCTCAGTTTCCTCATCCGTCAAATGGTGAAAATAAAACACCTCCAGAATAGGAATAATGTGAGGATTGGAAGGCAACATTCAAAAGCCCTTACGGCAGCTGGGGACACACAGTAGGTCCTCAGGAAGTGCTAGCCTAGCCGTGATGATTATCTTTAAGCCTGTGCCTTGCAAAGGCTGAGCAGGCTCTTCTCAGTTTCCAAGCTAAAAACAGCATCACAGTCCTGCCGGAAGTTGTCATTTCTCAGCAATCATTGATAAAAACTCCATGCGGCAGAGAGTGGTGGGGTAGTAAGCCTGTCATTCATGACCTCCAGGAAAATTGCTCAGGCAGAAATTATAAACACGTTCAGGGATGCGCAGAAGGCAGCACAGATCAGGTTCCCAGGAAGTGCGGGGCATGCCATTTGTGGATGGCATGGCAGGGTGCCAGCCAAGTTCCTATGACTCACCCTCGGTACCAGCCCCGGGGGGTCAGTTATGGTAATTCTGCTCACAGCTCTGTGCTATTAGAGAGGCTATGGGTTTAAGTGGAAAAGCCAGGCTCTAAAAATACAATAAAAAATATATAAAATATGGGAGTAGATTTAGTTGGCTTTTGTTTGAGGTCAACAGTGATTACCTTGGTCTACTGTGATTACATGGGGCCACTCCTTTTTTGTGTGCTTTTCTGGGCTGTCCAGGTGGTCTTCACTAAGCACTTACTTTGTTATTTGAAAAATAGTCAATAATGATCATTGTTAAAGGAAGGTCGGGAGCTTGAACTCTGTGCAGGGCAGTCACTGGTCAGCCTGTCCCAGGAGCCCATCCCTGCAGAGGCTGCTCAGGAACTCGCACTGTGTGGGAGAAAAGGAACTCAGAGCGAGGCCAGGAACACGGTCAACAGCACTGCGCGAGATGCTGTGTGCACAGCACAAAGTGCACGGCAGTGCCGGCCGCACGGAGACCCGCAGCCGTGTGCTCCCCCTGAGTGCCCTGCCTGCATCGGGAGCGGCGAGGCAGGGGGAGAGGAGAGGCAAAGAGGTGAACTCCAAGCTTCCGTCCCCTCTTTAAGTAAGTTACCTTCACTTTAGTCTCTTCTAATACAGCAGTTCTCAGCTGGGGGCGATGTGCGCCCCAGGAGACACTGGGCGAGGTCTGCAGATATTTTTGGCGGTCGCACCTCAGGGGAAGGGAGTGATACTGGCACCTAGAGCCCAGCGATGCTCCCTAGCATTCTAACTAGGCCCATGCAAGCCCCACAGCAAAGAATTATCAGCCCCAAATGTCCATAGGGCTAAGATTGGGAATCCCTGCTTTATTAGATAAGGTGTCTACCTAAAATTGCCACTGAAGATCAAGCTCCATGACTTGAAACAGCAACAGTTTTGCAAATTACTGCTTTGCAGCAAACACCACAAATGACAAACACTTGCCAGGGTCAAACCCAAAGTGTCTGCCTCTCGGTCAGTGGGTTCAGGCGAGGGAAGGAAAACAAAGGCCATGGCCCCCAGACCTCCTCAGGTAAAGAGCTCTACTTGAGAGGAAATGAGAGGCCCGTAGGCCCACAGACCAGAGCCCAAGGCAGGTTACACACCCCAGAGGCAACAATGGGCTTCTCACCAGGCTCTGCCTGGAATCCCTGCCCAGGAGCCTTTTCGGTCCGGTGAAAGTTCCCCTGCTTCTCTAAGGCTCCCCATTGCATGGGAACGTGAACGGCTCCCAAGAGTCAGCTCAGGGCCCTGGGCCCTCCCCTCTCCCCGACTGGCATTCCAAGAATCATGACTCTTTGCCAAGGGCTAACATACAACACTTTTGCAAAGAAAGGGAGGAAGGGAGGCTTAATTCATGACAACATTGAGCCCCCCAAGCCAGAGCCGGGCTTAGGGCTGCAGCGTGGGACACCTCAGTGAGGTCTGGGTGGCTCTGCATGGTCAAAGAACACGCTGCCGCCAGGCAGACTTGAGGGTGGCAGAGCCAGGGGACTGCCAGGGTGCACCTCAGAAGTTAACCAACTATCCAAAAGGAAGCCACTCTCAATGATTGGCAATAACAGCACCCAGTCCTGGAGCAGATAAACCCGAACCACAGGCAGCTGCTTCTCACCCATTGGGGGGATGAGCTAGGGCACAAGTCAGATACTCATTGATACATCCATAGAAGATGTAAAAACCCTTTGTGCTGTAATACATTCAACTGTGCTCTTGCACCCCAGGTTTCTTCCTCTTTCCTTTTGGCTTGAGCTAATATGGAAACGAACTGGCAATCTCAAATCATAGGAAAATTACATAGTACAGACTGTGTGATCCGTATTTGAATTAAACACAGGTCACGTGGTTAGGGCTAGCAGTCGTCTGTAACTCCAATATTTAAGTCCTATGCATAGAAAACTCTAGAACCCCAAGACATCCACCCCACCCACCCCGCAGGAGACTAAGGCTGTTGTGGAG